TTGTGAGTAGTGATAGTTAATCATCGTTGTAGTTGTTCAGTTATACTGTGTATATGATTATGATTATTATAATTTTGCATAGTTGTTACTCGATGTCCATGGCTGTGTCGTTCACCAATGGTATATGATGGAGTTTGGCTGTTTGTTTTGTAAAAATATCCTATGTAGGGGTTGGTAATTGAGGTAGGTCAAGTAGAAAGTCTGGAATCATTTTTATATTAAAGTATTGTCATAGTGTCCTCATTGTAGGTGTAACTTGGGCTTGTTTACTAATTGGCAATATTATTGAGAATTTGTAGCTCTCTAAGATATTTCTAACCTCATCGAGATTATTGGGTAGTAGTGGTAGAGGTTTGTTAGCCAGTTGTGTGTTACTATTATTGGAGGCTTCATCTGTTTCTAGGTCTGGATTGGTAGCTATAGTTGTGTTAAATATATTAAACCACTCTGCAGACAGGTAGGTAAAGTAGTAGTATTGTCGTAACAGCCTAACAGTTTGTGATTTAAGCATAATTGATACTGAAACGAATGAACTCCCAGAAAATAGCAACCGAAATCGCGCCGGGAATCACCGTAAGCAGTTGCGTTTGAGATGTACAGCATTGGCCGGTGGTTTCCCGCCTGCATTACATAACGCAGGCCGGCTGTCAGTGCGAATTGTAAATAATTGCATTCAGAAATCATTATGAAAATGTCAATATTTATATATATATATATATGTATATCTGTTTTTTTTTTTTTCTCTCTTCTTTTTTTTTTTTTTTTTTCCTGCAGGGTGGGAAGGGGCCGGGTCGCGAATTGGTTTATTTTTCGCAGCATAATGGCAGCTTCTCAGCGCAACTGCTGCATTTACCTCCTTTTCCTTTGCGATTTACCTGTTTCAGCCCTGGCTAGGCTTTGTTGGCAGTTGCTATACTCGGAAGTTGATTTAAGCATCATGCTTACCTGCGTTTGGATTTCCACATGAATCTTGTATTACCGCATCGATTTTCACATTTTCTATATCTTGCTGCCTCGGACACATGATTGCCCGCTTAGCTGTCTTTCGATCTGTTGACTGCGCATACGCCCGTATGCACGTCAACTCGAATGAAATTCTGGTTAGATTGAACATTTATTCTTGATCTCATGATCCAGATCGAATCGGTTTAACATCCTTATCCGTGGTTTTTTTATCTGTAACGATGATTTTATCCAGTTAAATGATCATGATAACTGTACATTTGGATTAGTGTATTATTTTTTGATATTAATACGAAAAGTAAATATTGAATACTGTGCGCTTAAGAATTCATATTATAAAACATTACATTAATCTATCAGGTTTATCATGAGATAAAGATAAATTCTTATATTAGTTTTTCTAGTTAATTTATTGTGGCATTCAAATCTGGTTGATTTTATGAACATCACGCTACTTTGTGAAATTTATTCCAAAAAAAGTTATAGTTATTTATTAGTTTTTCTAG